ATTGTGAATTTTTTTTTTCTAATTCCTTTAGAAAGTCTCGATTATAAAAAAAAAGTATCATTTATGTCCTAAAGTATTCAATATGACAATCCTAGAACGAACTATATATTGGTTAGTATTGACCGTTAGTGGTCAATGATAAATCAGTTTATCGCTGATGTGTCAATTGTCCTGATTCTATATGATAATGTGGTAATGAGGTGGAATTATATTAACATATTAATTTTTATACAATATGCATATTTATTTAATTTTTAGAATTATATTAATTTCAAATTATAAATGAGGTGTAGAATTATATTACTACCCCTCTGCAGCTTCTCACTCTTCCTTTGCTCTCCTCCGTCGCCACCGGCGGCCAAAATAAGAAGACAAATCCCGCCATCAAGTGACCTCCCTCGATCTCTCCGACCTCAACATCTTCATCTCCACTCGCCCAGCTAAAGAATCTCTAGGTTCTCGATTTGTACAACAACGAGATGAACGGAGAGCTCGACGAAGTGATCAATTGATAAAAATGAATGTATTCTGCCGCAGTCAAAGAGGGAGGTTGCATTCCCCAAACCCGGAATCCAATCCCACGAGGCGACGATCATTTTTTTTTTTTTTTTTGATGACGAGGAACACCCTCCACGGTCACCACCTTTGGTGATGCCGTAGTCGGGCCAAACCCCGGGACCTCCGCCAGCAGTCCGGGCAAATGCGGGTGCCTCCGGGAACACCATGGTGGCGGTGAGGATCGAACCTGAGACCTCTCGGTCACTAGTTCGCCTTCCTTACCACCAGGCTATGTGACCTTTGGCGGCGACGATCATTTTCGCCGGTGGTAATTGAGCGGGAGCAAAGGGCGACGGCGCCACTGCTCGTCGGTGGTACTTGAGCGGGAACATAGGGCGACATCGCTGGTCGTGAGTATTTCTCTGGAGGAGGGAGCTGGGGAAAGGAAGCAGCAGGGGAGATCGGGGAAGTAGGGGCTCGCCGGTAGCAACGAGGGCATTTTGTCGAAGAGGGTCGCCGACATCATTTTGCTATTTTTTAGAAGGCTAATTAGAAAATCCCAACTACCAAGAAAGTCGTCCCGAACTATTCAATATTTCATTTATGTCCCAACTTATAATAGTTGTGTGTCATTTGTTTCCTGATGATTTTATTGACCGTTATAAATAACGATTGACCAGACGGTGGGTCAACAGAGCGATTCAGAAGATTTGGGGATTTTGTAATTTTTTATTTTTTAATTTTAATAAATTTAGATGAAAATATAAATAAAAATTCACTTTTTAAAATTCAATATCAGATGTCACATCGACACTGAGTGAATTTTCTGTTAAATATTGACTGTCAAACTTGGTCAACACTAACGAAAATATAGTTCAGGATATAAATGTCATATTGAATAGTTCGAGACACAAGTGACACTTTCTTGATAATTCGGATTTTCCAATGGTTTAGATTTTAAAAATAAAAGTAATAGTATGATGTGGTAATGGCATGACATCTATATGGCAGTCATTGGTAGTTTTGATTTTGTAGTGGTATTAGCTCTTTTTTTAGATTGTTTCTATATTTGTATTCTTCATAATGCATCATTTTTTGACTTTTCAACAGATACAATACATGCATTGTTTTTATGATGTGACAGAAACTATCACTCAAAATAAATAATTGTTATGTCGCACATAAAGATAGTTGAGTTGAGATTGTTTTATCTCAGCTTTTAATTAATATGACATACACAATAAAACATACCAAACCTTATATTTCACCATGCAACGAATTCGACAATACATGTATAATATTATACATGTATTCACAACAATACATCTATTTAACAATTACAACATCAAACGACCCCAATTGTACTTCTCGTCAATGATTAGCAAGCAACTTTAGAGATTGCTTCTGTATGTTCGTGCGCATTTGGCGATTTTTGCCAATATACCACACAAAAACCAAAAAAATTACAAAAATTTCACTATTTCTCTAAAATTTCCATCTCATACCACTCTTTCACAAGTACCGCATCCCCCATTGCGGTTTAAACAAGGAACACAGGGGGTGGTGCGATTTTCGTTCTTGCCGCATATAGACCGCGTGGGATCACTGCGATCAGATTGACCTTGCCCCAGCTCAGCAATTCGGGCCAAACCGTGGCCTCGAGTGTGGTTTGCATTTCAAATGCGGAAACCGCCGCACCACCCCACGGTTCGCTGCCCATAATTTTTTTTCGATGGATATCTTACCTATGCCGAAACTTCAAACGAATGTATCTTTTTTCTCGGTTATCCAATCTTGGCAAAAAAAAATGATTCCGCATAACTTTTCGACATCTTGCAAGCCGCAAACCATCGCCTTCATCCTAAAAATTCATTGTTATTCGGCAAACTTTGGACGATCATAACTTTATGCTCCCCAATCCGAATCTCACAAAATATATTTTTATTTCGCATAAGTATTGTGGATTTGCAAGATCTCAAAAAATTGTGCGAAATCAAAAAAATTTGCTACGATCTGATAACCGACACAAAGTTACGTTCGTTTGAAGTTACAATAATTTTTTTTAATTAAAACCTCGAGAGGGTCCCACGGTTCTTTCTAGGTCAGCAAGAGAGTCGCAGGACCCCCCCTATCGGTTTTTTCACAAAATGAAAACCCAACATCGCCCTGCGGTCCTTTTGTAAACCGTCATGGGGAATGCGGTCCTTGTGAAAGGGTGGTATGGATGGAATTTTTTAGTATTTGTAGTGTTATTAAAGTCTACCTGAGCCGGTCAGTCGGATTGGTAAAACCGGCACCCGACCACCAGTTCGGGTCGGACCTGTTCAAAAACCACAATGGTTAGAAAGGTCGGTCGGTAAGTAGTCTAAACAATTAATCATTTGAGCTGCTCGAATCATTTGGTCGATTTTTTAAATTGTGTAACCGAAATAAGATGAAGAAAATCTGGATTTGAACGGTCCTTGTAAAAGAATAATATATATATTGGAAAAAATTCCCGCATTTGATTCCTACATATCCTGTTCAAACCAAGCTTAAACAGATTGAATTTTGGTTGGACCATCAAATTTCAGACTACTTAGTGATCGGCTTATCGACTTAAACCGGTTTGATATTTTTATTAACCAGATTCCCTTTTGCAAGGAGGGGCCTTTCTTTTTCTATGGGTTAAAGACATATTTGGTCACTGAGATTACTAAATTAGGACATGTTTAGTCACTGTAAAAATTTAATATCAAATTTGGTCACTAAAATTACTAAAACAGGACACGCTTAGTCACTCGCCGTTAGTTGCCGTCCAACTCCGTTAAAAAACTCCGTTATGTGCTGACGTGGCTAACGTGAGCGCCTAGTCAGCGCCGTTTTGGGCCGGAAATGACCAAACCCGACCCGCCACGTCACTATACCCGCCACGTAATAAACCCAACCCAACCCAATCCATTAACCCAACCCGACCCAGAAACAAACCCTAACCCACCTAACCAGACCAGAGGCCACTTAAACAAATCAAAATTGATTTGTTTCCATTACAGACCCTTCTCCTTCCTCGAGCTCTTCCCGAGCTCTTCCCCTTCGCCATTTTCGATCAAACCCTGAGAGCAGAGAGCAGGGAGAGATGAAGTCGGGTTGAAGACGCGTTGAAGTCGCGTTGAAAACTGGGAGTCTTCCCCTTCCCCGTCGCATTGAAGTCGCGTTGTTCGACTTCTTCGAAGTCGCGCGTTTCCGCCATCGCAGTCAGTTTCCCTCGCCGGCAGACAACGAAACCTTGAGATTCTCTTCGATTCGCGTTGCACTTCTTCTTCTTCGTCTCCCGCCAGCGTCAGCTTCCTCAATCGCAGCAGTGGAGGAAACCCAAAATCTATTCCCCCATCGCGCCAGATCGCAGCAGACGGCCTTGTCGCAGGTGGCCGACGCGTTCGAGGAGCTGGCTTGGGGGTTAGGGTTTGGGATTTGGTTGTGGTGGGTGATTTGGAGGTGGTTTTGTTTTTGGGGGAAGTTGATTGCTTGATTGATGGATTTGAAACTAGGGTTTTGATTTTGGTGGGTGTGGGAGTGGAAGTGGAATTGAGCTGCTGCTTCTTGTCTTTCTTCTTGAGGAGCTGAGCAGTATCAGCTGTGGAATTGGTGGGCTTCTTCTTCGTGGTGAGTAGAGAATCGCTATTGCTGCTGGCCTTGGACTTGGTGGGTGATGTTGATTTAGTAGAGTTGGAGGATTTGGTGGTAATAAGTTTGGTCTGGTTCTTCTTACCACTCGAAGAAGAAGAAGACAGAGTATCTCCGATAGCAGCAGAGTTGGTAGTAGTCTTCTTGGTGAGTTTCATGGTCTGATTCTTGTTAGCAGAGGGAATGGTAGATTTAGAAAGCTTGGTGCTTGGTGTTGCTTGTGATGATGATAGGCTGCTGCTGCTGCTCTTTTTCTTGGGCAGTTGTGGTTGCTCATCGTCGTCATCGCTGTCTAAGGAAGAGGCAGAGAGGAAGAGGGGGGAGGTGAACAAGAAGAAGAAGAAGGAGAGCAAGAGTAGCTTCCTGAATCTTCACCACCGAGCTCCGAGCCGCCGGCACCGCCACATTCCTCAAGAAGATGAAGGAAGGGCGGCCGGCAGATTAATGGGGAAAACCCTAAATTGGGTTGGGGAGGAAGGAGGAAGAAGGGTTGGGTAGGGTTGGGTTGGTTTTAATGAGGTGGCGGGTTATAATGACGTGGCGGGTCGGGTTTTATTTTTGTTGGGTTAATATCCGGCTGATTAGGCAATTCTGTTTGCCACATCAGCACTTAACGGACTTCATTAACGGAGTTGGACGGAGACTAACGGCGAGTGACTAAATGCGTCCAGTTTTAGTAATTGTAGTGACCAAATTTGATATTAAATTTTTCTAGTGACTAAACATGTCCCGATTTTGTAATCTCAGTGACCAAATGTGTCTTTAACCCCTTTTTCTATTGACGATATATCATGTCCGAAACGAAACGGCTTTCTCTAACGGCTAGTTCCAAGTCTGACATTGCTTTTTTTAAAATAACTCACTCCCACTGTCCGTCTCTCGAAATTAACGATCTAGACCCAAAGCACAGTCAAGCTACCGCAAAAAAAGAGGTCGATAACCAGCCATTACGCTCCTTCTCAGTTCTCTGTCACGGTAGACAATGGCAGACGAGTTGGCATCAGTTTCTCCCGTTTTTCCGCACCAGGGCGAGTACCCAGAAGTAGAAGAAGAGGACTTCTACGAACAGATCTCAGCGCCCAAGTATGTTGACCTCACTAAGCCCGATCCCCGCCGCTCCAGCGAAGATCGCTACTGGTTCTGCCTCCGGGTTGGTGAGTACTCGGTTTCGATGGCCAATTTCTGTCTTCTCCCGCCAAAATCTTTCAGTTGCCCTTTTCCCCCTTTCGGGTTTTCCAGCGTTCATTTGCTTCAGTTATACATTGAGAGTCTGAACTTTCTACTCTGAATATGCTTTGATTTTCGCCGGATTGGGATCATTTCTGCCTCTTATTTTGGCACCTTGCTGTGCATTTTGGGATGACAGGGTTCTAGAGTTCAATTAGGGTTCTGGGCCTCTTCTCTATCTCAACTTTTAGGGTGTAGTTGTTGGCTGAAAATTTGGAGAAGAGAAATAAACGTAAATGCTAGGTTGATACTCAAAAACTCTTCTGGGTAGTTTGATTTAGTACTTAGCCCTGGGTTGCTGCTCATAAAGGTTGCTTTTTTTCTCTGTGAATTTCGCAATTGTTAGGTTTGTTTTGATCACAAGGGGATAAAGTACTTACAGAACTGATGCTGCTCTTATCTTTTTGAAAGAGTGCATCGTTACATCCTTATGTCACTTTTTGGCTTCTAGCATTCAGTTGAGAAACTTAAATGTCTCTAGGGTTGTCCCATGCTAATTGCGGAAAATATTTGGCCTGCTGAACTTGTAGGTTGTGACCAAAAGCACGAAGAAGAAATGGACTCCGAAGCAATCTACAAAAATTTCGTTCTTAGAGTAAGTTGATATGTAGGTCGTGGGTTTGGTACTTCCTGTTACATTCAAACTTCACAACTGAAGTTGTTTGAAAATCTCCTGTAGGTCATGGCTGCAAGAAGTCCCAACGTGAAGCTTCGAAAAGCACTGTGTAACAAGGAGAAAAGGTATGCACAAATATTGCAGTACCTTTTTCTTTATTTCTCCCTTTGCTGGCCTTCTTACTAACAGAAAGATAATGGTTATTTTGTGTTGGCATGGCAGCCACAATCTGAAATGCCCACAGACAGTACCAGCGAAGCCTTCCAGGCCTAGAGGGCCGAGGCTTGCTTTGATTTCTTCAATATCTAAGAAACTGGTCGACAACAAAGCAAAACTCAAGCCGCTCCTGAAGCAGACTGCAACAACTCCAAAAGTAATGGCAAAGCAACCTTCCAACATGGCCAAGGCTCTAACAACTCCAAGAAACAAAAAGCCGGCAGTGTCAGAACCCGCTGCTGCATTTAGGAGCGTTAGGGCCCCGAAATCAACAGCTCTGATAGGATTGCCAAAGAAGATGGGAACAGCCAGGACTCTGGTATTTCATTCGCCTAAGAAGCAAGTAAGAACAAACCCCCCATCTGAAGGAATAGACAGTATGAAGACCTTGTGTTCCGGCATGAAAAAGCTGGAGATTACAAGTGGGAATAAGCAAATGATGAGGAGCACAACAGCAGTATCAGATGCTAAGAGAAAACAGCCAAGGGGACGGGAGGTTAAAAGCCGGGTTTATGATGGACTCCTCCATACTCCAACTAAAGTAGCCAAACAAGCTAAATCGTCCAAGTGCTTGGAGGGAAAGAACTTGGAAACAAGTTCGATGATGCTGCAGCCCGACTCTGATCATGCAGCTTGTAAAGGGGTTCAAGATGATTCTTCCAATGAACTAGACACTGAGGAGAAATGCAGAAATGGCCCTCAGGGGATGAATGCCAACGAGAGCCGTGCAAGTGGACAAGAGAATGTGCTGGACGCTGTTATGGAAGAGGGGTTTGAGGAAATCAAGATGACGGATCAGGGGGCTATAACTTCAGCTTCCAGTGGTGGAGAAAACCACTTCGAAGTAGCAGCAGAAGGTGATAAAGAAAATGTTTCAGCGTCTGATGAGAATAGGTATGAAGTTTGCCACATTTGTATGGTTTGGTTATGGTATATTCAACCTTACCTTACAAGTACTTTCTGGCTGCAGGCGTTTGGATCACAATGCAGACGGTCGTGGAAAGAATGCTCTTGAAAATCAGAACAATTTGAACGGCAGAAAGGTTGGCCGGTCTTGGTGAATTTGGGTTTTGACATTTGTGCGGATGGTAACTTTGCGAGTCTATTCTCACTTACTTGCTACCCTCTCTGGGATATTATGCAGACCCGGAGAATAATGGCTAAACCTTTGAAAGAGAGCTCTGTGGCTCCTGTTGCTGTGGTAGCTCGAAGTCTAAATCATAGAAAACCAAAACCTACACATCCCAAGCCGTTTCGCTTAAGAACTGATGTGAGTGACCTGTATTTTTGCCAGCAATTGTGCGAGGGTGGAAGTTTTCTTTGAATGTGGCTTCTGATGTCTTTTGCCTTTGCTTGGACTGCAGGAAAGAGGGATTCTTAAGGAAGCAAACATGGAGAAGAAGCTCCATCCTACACTTAAAGAACTTACAACTGTCCCACAAAGAAGACATCAACATGTTCTCCAAGTGAGTGTGATCTTGCGTTATCCTTCCGGTATCTCACAATAATTCATTGGATTTCACTGATGTTTTCCCGTTGGTACCACAAGTTTCAGAGAAATGAGAAGAACCTTGAACAAACTGAACTTGGTAGTAATACACATGAAGGCAGTGAAACTGAGGAGATAAACAGCAGGCCACAGAAGGAACAACCTGTAAGTCCCAGTACTTTCTTTCACCTTACTGATCCATTCATTCATGCGTACAATTTGCGTAGTTGCAAATGTGAAATAAATATGTAACCCACGTTCGTTTTTTCCCCTAGCAAAATAAAGCTTCTGGCTTGAGGAATCCAAAAGGAATATCTACTCCCACTCCAAATAGGCAGCATACACTGTCTTCACAGAAGAAAGTTGCAGCAGTTCCACGACGCACTCCAAGCAAAGCCGCAACAACGGGTCAGAAGGCGAGCAGGACGCCCTTGACGAAGGCTAAAACAGCATTGTCGCCATCACCACCTGCAACAACTTGTGCAGTAGAAATGGATGATGCAACTTCTCAGCCATTGACAGAGGGTAAGAAGTTGGCTGTTCCAAAAGGGCCTAATTTCCACGTCACTCACTTGCCCAAGAGCTGCGCAAGGAGAGTCGGGTCTTGATACTTTGTTTATTAAAAACAGATTTGATCTGTGCTTTCTATTCAATTGATTCATTGAATTCTGTGTTTGTGGTCAGCCATTTATAGTTTCGTGACATGTAATATCATTGCGGGCCACTTGAATGTGTTGTTTGTAACGTACTATTTATGTTTGTCCATACTCCATAGCCCCCAACTGAAGAAGCGAAGATAGCTTGCTTACCTTTTTCTGTGTTTCTGTATTGCTTTTTTGTTTCGGTCTTTTGATTGTAAACAACGGCTGCCCTCTGCATAATCAGCTAGCTGCGTTAATCAAACAACACTTTGTATCTCATCTCCTCTCTTCCGAAGAAACAAGTTGCAAGGCAGTAACTCTCTGTGTCTTTCCCCATCGATGGATCTGCATTGATTTTGATCTGTTTGTGTGCAAGACTGCATACTAGTCCATAGTTCTTGTCCTTAACCTTCACATTGTTCATCTCACGCTACGCGACAGAGATGACAACTTCCAAGCTGCAGCAGGTCCTTCAAGACAACTTGGATGATCGATCAGACTCTGTGATCTACCCAAACTGGTTCTGAAAACAGAACTCAATACTGACTATTGGGCAACGGACCAAAATCATTAAAACAGCATACTAAAAAAGATGCTACGTCCATATTAAATTACTCCAAACAAAAATTCAACACGTACATTCATTATCCTCGGACTCATGGCGAATACAGAAAAACAGACGGCTAGTCGTTCAGTAGAAACAAATTTAGGGGAACGGCTAACATCATCAAAATTTGCAAGGATCTATAAATCAAGCTCTACTTAAGACATTCTTTGCGCAGCCTCCTTAGCCAAGAGTCTCTCCTTGGCTTTGGTCTTGGCCTGAGATTTGGATCCCATTATCCCACCACCCCATTTCTTCCTGTGCTCATCAAACTTGTCGTTGAAGTTAGCCTGCAACACATTTAGCAAAGTAACGGTTAAGACTTGAGATCATTACACTGATCACTTGTCATTAAAGTCAATACACTACCTTCACTGCCTCCAAAATCTTGCTGAACTCCATTTTGTCCTCATTCTTAACAGATGTAAGGCACAAAGCTGCAGCTGTCTTCTTGTGGACAATCTGCAATTCATTGCCATTAGAAATGGCTCGAAAAAGGATTTCGCAGGTTGCTTTCCAACTCAGAATGAAAGAACCAAGAGATTACCGCTCCAAGTCTTGACTTGCCCTTCACAATAGCATATGGAACCTCCATCTTCCGACAGAGTGCAGGCAACCAGACAACCAGCTCAATTGGATCAACATCGTGAGCAATAACCACCAGTTGGGCCTTGTTCTACATAAATAGAGTAGTATAGTATCACAATTGAGGTTTAGCACACCAGAATTTCTTTTAATCAGAAAAATGACAAAGCGGTGGGAAAATATGGAAATGGGGCACAACTTGAGAATATCAAGACTACCTGCTCGATAAGGTAAGTCACATGATTAAGTCCATACTTAACAACTATGGGCTTCTTGGACTCCACAGACTTTCCCTCTGCTTCAGCTTGTGCTTTGCTAATAAGCCTTTCCTTCTTAGCAGCTTTGTCCTCTGGGCGATACTTCAGCAAAAGCTTGAATAGCTGGGTGGCTGGAGCATTAGATAACCAAAAAAAATAACGTTAACAATCCATAATTAGACATATCCAAAGGAAACAAGAATATCTTTGAAACTTACCTAGGTTCTTGTCAAGTGCTTTTGTGAACTGGTTCACAGCAGGAGGAACCTTCAATCGTTGCCTCAATATCCTTCTCTGCCTTTGAATACGAACAACATGAGGCCACTTGACAAACCTCGTCAAATCCCTCTTAGGAGGGAGTGCACCACCGATTCCAAACTGCTTCGGGCGCTTCTCGAACAACGGATTCACAACCTTATCCTGCGATCAATATTCATGACTGAGATTTCACTAAACTTATAAAGCAATGTTCCATAGCACTATTAGCCAACTCCTTCGCAATGGGATTGCCTTAACTAAATGCTTCTCGACAGAAGACAGGAGATGAATGGAGCATCACAGAATCACAATGAGATCAATGAATAGAGCCTACTATAACCTTCGGAGCAGTAACCAATAAACCAACCAATATAACTCAACAATACTACAAGGTATGCTAAGTTCAGAAACTCGAATAAGTAAGTGGGAGTGATTACTTACAGATTTCTTCTTTGCAGCTGCCACGGGTTTAGCACCTCTTTTCGGGGCCTTCAAAAACAAGGAAAGGAAGGAAGCATGTCATAACAGTTAACTTATAGAAAATTCTGCATATAATAGAGAAAAGCCAGAATTGAGGAGATCTCCACAGCGATTCTGACTCGTCGAACCCAGCAAACTGAAAATGAAACAAATGCACCATACTGGATAGGCGCAGTGAAGCGACGTACCATATCGACGGCGGCTAGCTGATGCAGAAGAGAGCAGGAAGATGGAGAACGAAGGCGGCCGCTGCTCGCTTAGGTTTTGGCGTTTGAAGAGTAGAGTCTCATAAAACGAGGAACACAGGAAACCCAAACCCTAACTCGACGAACTCTCATGACCCGCAAGGCCTTCGCTGACCGCTGGGCCTTATTTATGGGCCGTTCACTAATCTGAGGTTTCGGCTCATGCGATCACTACCAAGTACCAGCTATATCCTCTTTTCTTTTCCTTTTTAACCCTAAATCAACGTTGTCAGAGTCCAATTAGAACTTCCCACAAAAAAAAAGTCCAATTAGAACAAGTTATTTACAAAGACACGGTTCCTGTACACCAAGACTGAGTTTACTATTCACCTAGACTCAAAATTACTATTCATCTAGACTTAAAATTCGCAAGGAAGTTACCAGGCGCAGTGTCCAATGAAGAGGAGAGAGAGTGAGAATGGTGACTCGACCCTGCTGGAAAGAAAAAAAAGGGTGGAGGTCTCGAGATGTCGGGGAGCAAGAGGAAGCCTTTTCCCGATCAATTAGTCGAGAGGAGAGATCAGAAACCCCTCTTCCTTTTCACCTTCTCTCTCTTACTCACTCTGTTTTCTCTAACCTATTTCGCTGCAAATAGCCATCTTTCCCAAATCTTCTCCTTCTCTGACCTCTTTTCACCATCTTCTCCTTCTCTCTTTCTCTCTTTGCGACCGCCAGAATCTCCAAAATCCGCGATGAAGCAGCCAGCTTGCCGAAGAAGGAGATCCGTCAAACGCTTCGATCGACGCCGATCCTATTCCTCTGTATCTAATTTCTTTGGACGGAGAGGAGGGAAGGTGTGAACCACGATGTTGGTGTCGAGTGCTAATTGTATTCGTGTGAGTTTTGGTATTTCTTGATACAAAAGCAAAAGAGACCAGAGAAAAGTGTATCTTTCATTCCTTCCAAGTTTAGTATATATATAGAGTACATGTTGGCAGGTGAAAGAAGAGACAGCAGAAAGACATTCAACAGTGCAATTAAGAGTGGGCCGATCGAGTGGGCTATTGGTGTGGGTTATCTTCTAATAATTGCAGGCCCAATTTATCAAAATAGGAAGCCAAGTCTTCTGCTTCCATGAGAGCTGAGAACTGTGCAGAAGCTGTTTGGCAAACGGGTCCTGGGGAAGAAGAAAGGTCTTCCTCTCGTATTACTCCCCCGCAAGCTGGACTGCACAGATTGTGCAAGCCAAGCTTGGAGCAGAGAGCAGAAAAAGAAGAAGGACCCAGGGGTTTTGTGAACAAATCCGCCAATTGGGAAGAAGAAGGGACGTATGCGGTTCGGATGATACCTTGTTGGATCTTCTCACGGATTAGATGGCAATCGAGCTCGATATGCTTGGTGCGCTCGTGGAATACGGGATTCTCCGCAATGTGGAGGGCAGATTGGTTATCACAATACAAGGAAGCTGGAGCAGAGTGCACGACACCAAGGTCTTGAAGGAGAAAGATAAGCCATTGAATCTCACAAGTCGTGAATGCCATGGCGCGATACTCCGCCTCGGCTGACGAACGGGCAACGGTCGATTGCTTCTTAGACTTCCATGAGATCAAGGAGGAACCAAGGAAGATACAATAACCATATGTAGAGCGTCGACTATCAGGGCAACCCGCCCAATCTGAATCGGTGAAGCCATGGAGTTGAAAAGATGAAGTCGCAGAGAAGAAAATGCCTTGACTCGGGGCTGCTTTGATGTAACGAAGAAGATGATGTGCAGCACGAAGGTGGGTAGTGGTGGGATTGTCCAGGAATTGGCTCAACTGTTGGGTTGCAAAGCTTATGTCGGGGCGAGTTGTGGTGAGGTAAATCAATTGGCCGATCAAACGACGGTAAGAAGAACCATCAGTAGGTGGGGTGCCATCATTAGATATAAGGTGAGTCTTTGGTTCCATTGGGGTAGAAGCAGGTTTGCAATCAAGGAACCCATTTTCATGAAGGATTTCAAGAGCATATTTGCGTTGACTGAGATGAATTCCAGTGGGGCTGCGAGCCACTTCAAGCCCCAAGAAATAACGCAACTCTCCAAGGTCTTTAATGCGGAAGAGGGAGTGCAGGTGAGATTTTACCTTAGCAATTTCAGACAAATCATCCCCAGCCAAGATAAGATCATCAACGTAGATAAGAATGGCTGTGAAAGCTGTAGAAGTGGTTTTGGTGAAGAGTGAATGATCTGAAAGGCATTGATGGTAACCAATATCGGTGAGAGACTGTGAGAGCTTGGCGAACCATTGGTGAGAAGCCTGTTTGAGCCCGTAAAGGGATTTGTGGAGACGGCATACCTTCTGCCTATCAGAAGGAGGTAATTGCATCTGCATTCCTGGAGGGAGACGCATGTAAACCTCTTCATTGAGGTCTCCGTGTAGGAAAGCATTGTCTACATCAAGTTGGTGAATATGCCATCCACGAATAGCAGCAACAGCCAAGAGAGTGCGAACTGAAGTGAGCTTAACAACTGGTGCAAAGGTTTCTGTATAATCTAAACCTTCTTGTTGGCTATAACCCTTTGCAACAATGCGTGCTTTGAAGCGTTCCAAAGTACCATCAGAAAGAAACTTGGTCTTATAAACCCATTTTGAGCCAATAGCAATTTTGCCAGGAGGCAAATCAACAATGGACCAGGTTTGATTCTGTTCCTGGGCAGCAATCTCACGCTGCATAGCTTTGTTCCAGTGGGCATGAATGGAGGCTTCTTTAAAGGAAATGGGGTCATGGAAGGAACTCACAGAAAGGGCAAAGTGGTGATAGGTAGGGGAAAGAGAAGAGTAAGAAAGAACAGTTGGAAGATCATAAAGTTTACCTCGATGATTTGGTGGAGACCTTGGGGGAAGAGTATTGGTTCTTCCAAGTGAAAGTAAGCTGCGATGATAGTTGATGAGATAAGCAGGGGGTCTTGTTGGGCGTTTGGATTTTCGAAGGAGTGGGGATGGAGAAGAAGAAGAAGGTTCTTCCTCATCCATGTCAACATCATAAGAATCTGGTGGTGTGGTTGGATGAATGGGTGATGGAGGAGAGGCTGGATGGGGAGAATTAGAAGGTGGTGAGGAAAGATTAGGAGATGCAGAGAAGGGTTCAGCAGGGTTTGTAAAAGAAAAACGAACCTGGGAATCATCATGATGGACATGAGAAGTAGGATTGAGAAGGGAATCATTTATGGATAAGTCAGCATCTGGGTTGGGAAGAGATTGAAAGGGAAATATGTGTTCATAAAATATGATGTCACGAGAAACAAAAGTTGAATGGGAGGTCAAGTCATAGAGTTTATAACCTTTGGTACCGGAAGAGAAACCCAAGAAAACACATTCTCGAGCTCGAGAGGTGAATTTGTTGCGATGAGAAGCTAAAGTGGAAGCATAGACAAGGCAGCCAAAGACCTTAAGGTCTTGATAGTTGGGTGAGGTGAGGTGCAGTTTCTGGAATGGGGTTTCATTATTCAGAATAGGAGTAGGGAGCCGGTTAATCAAGTGGACAGCATGGCGGACACAATCACTCCAAAAACTAAGGGGCAAAGCAGCTTGGAACTTAAGGGCTCGAGCAACCGAGAGTATATGCTGGTGTTTTCGCTCGACTCTACTATTTTGCTGGGGGGTCTCTACACAAGAAGTTTCATGAATAATTCCCTTAGCTGCAAAGAAACTAGTCATCTTGAATTCTTGGCCATTATCGCTTCGGATTCTCCTAATTTTGGTATGGAATTGGGTCTCAACATAAGCACAAAAGCTTTCAATGTGGCTGCGGGTTTCAGATTTGGATTTCATGAGCATCAACCAAGTGAGACGAGAGAAATCGTCGACAAGAGTAAGAAAGTAAGAGAACCCATCATAAGAAGGAATGGGGTTAAGCCCCCAAATGTCAATGTGCACTAGGGAAAAAGGAGCATCAGCAACAGACATACTTAAAGCAAAAGGTAATTTCCTCTGTTTGGCAAAATGACATATAGCACAAGGTTGTGTTGGGTTTGTCGCAATTGACGAATCAATTTGACTCAAAATACTGATTTTGGAATGAGATAGATGTCCTAAACGAAAATGCCATATGTCAAAGTGTTTCGGAATTTGTGAGTGGGAGGACAAAGCTGCAGAAGTAGGATGGATAGGTGTTTCAAAAGATTGCTGCTTCATTTGGTAGAGGCCACCTTGGAGTTCAGCCGAACCAATGCTCTTCCCCGTAGGTATGTCCTGCAAATAACAATATATAGAGAAGAAGGAAATTGATATAGGCATAGTTGTGGTTAGTTTATGGACTGATATGAGGTTAAAGGTGAAATCTGGCACAAATAAAACATCAAAGAGGGTCAAAGTTGGTGAAAAATGAACTATGCCTAGGTGAGTAGCTGGCACTTGTATGCCTATGGGAAGAGTGATCATGACATTGGATATGGGTTGAAAGGATGAAAAAAGAGAGAAATTGCAAATCATATGATTTGTGGCTCCGGTATCAAGAATCCAAGTGTGGCCACGAGAATGGAATGGTTTGGGAAAGGGAAGAGAAGGGTTTTGTGTACCTGACGGGTTGCTGGTCGAAGAAAAGAAGGCAGCAGCAGAATTGGTGGGGTTACTAACTTGTTGTTGGTGGGATTGAGAAGTGGAGGTTGTATCCTGGACATAAGCTTGCAGCTGAGAATACTGTTCCCGGGTAAGTTTCAAACCTGCCAGAGCTTGTAATAAATCAGGCTGAGTATTCTGAGAGTTGGCAATGACTGAATGTGCATGAGCTCGCTGGTTAGTGTTGAAGTTTGCTCGAGGCGTGTAACCAGGTGGCCATCCGTTCCTTTTGAAGCATTGATCAATAGTGTGTCCATTCATTTTGCAATAAGTGCAAAATGGCCTGCCACCTTGTGGTCTTTGACTGAAATTTCCTTGAGCTCTAGGCGATCGAAAATGTGGTCTTTGGTAAGGTCTTTGCTGCCCACCAAATTGATTCATGCATTGAACATTGCCTTGATTGCCAAACTGACTATTGTTCTGCTGCAGGTGAGCTGGTGCAAGCATTGCCATGGAATTTTGGATGCCGTTTTGCTGCACATTAGTAAGTAACTGCCTCTCTAATTGTGTTACTCTATAAAATATGGTGTCCATGTCTGGTAGAGGATCAGACATGAGGATTTGTGTCCTTGCAAGAGCATAGTTGTCATTGAGTCCTCTTAGAAACTGAATAA